CTTTCAGCGTTTTGGGCGCGTATTTCAGATTACTTTTGACGAAGCCAAGGGTGCTGTTGGCTTTCGCACATAAACTATTGATATGTTTGTCCCACTTCAGGGTGTTAGAGAGAATTATGCCGAGATACATAGTTGACTCAACCTCCTTGAGGAATTTTCCATCTATTTCGTAGAAGTACGATAGCGTCTTTTTCTTCCGTGTAACACTTCTGGGCGTTAAATCGCATCCCCCAGGTCTCGGTCCAGGATTGAAGGATGGACAAGTCTTGCTGCAGCATGACCGTGCTGATCCTTGATGGAGTTGATCACCCTATATAGGAGACAATCGTCGGCAAACAATCACACTTTGCTGGTTACAGTGGCTGGTAGATCATTGATGTGTAGAAGGAACAGTAAAGGGCCAAGGACAGTTCCCTGTGGAACACCCGAGTCCACTGAAACACAATTGGAGTGTTCTCCTTCCACGACCACTTGTTGTGATCAATGACAGAGAAATTCCTGGATCCATTTGAGTGTGGTTTCTGATGCCGTAGTGGCTTAGCTTCTTCAGCAACCTCTGATGGGGCACCGTGTAGAATGCCTTGATGAAGTCCAGAACGGCTATATCGATCTGTGCATTGTTATCGTGTTGTTGTAGGAGATCATGTGCGGTAGTAAATAGCTGGGTCTCACAGGAATGTTCTCGTCGAAAGCCATGTTGAACATTGGTCAGGATGTTGTGGGTTTCAAAGTGTGACAGTATATGACGATAAATTACATGTTCCAGAAGTTTACTGCAGACACATGTGAGAGACACTGGGCGGTAGTTTTCACATGCGTGCCTGTCTCCTTTCGTGTATACTGGAGTAACGAAAGCCTTTTTTCTGTGGGAGGGTAGTTGACCATCATCAAGGGATTGTTGGAAAATCGCACTCACTATTGGTGCTATCTCGTGAGCTGTTTCTTTCAGGATGCGGTTGGGGATGGTATCCGGACCGCAGGCTTTGTTTGGGTTGATTCTACTGAGAAGCGTTTTCACGCCAGCTTCATCTATGGTGATATCGCCAATAGATGGTTTCGGTTCACCTTGAATGTCAGGAATGTTACTGGTGTTTTCTTGGGTGAACACAGACTTGAACTGGTCGTTCAGGAGTTGAGTGTTGGTTTTAGAATCTGCATAAAGTTTTCCACTCTGCCGAAGAGGGGATATTCCAATATTGTCTGCTTTTTGAGATTTAATGTATCTCCAAAATGTTCTTGGGTTATTCTCTTTGAGACTGAGATTGAGGATTTGGTTCAGATATACCCGATGTGATTGGTGTATTAATTTCTGAACGAGTTTCTTCTGTGTTTTATACCGGAGTGTGTTGTCCGCACTGCGGTTTTGATGTATTTTGTGAAACAGATGGTGCTTTTTCTTGATTGCTCCATTCACCCATGGTAGCTTATTGTTCCATTTTATCACTTTATGTGGGATGAAATTCTGGATTATGCTAAGCATACGGTTACCGTCTTTGAATTTGGTCCAGTTTTCATTGACCGAACGGTGGTGGAACAGATCGGGCTCGAGGACTGCCTGCTGCAGTTTTTCTGCTTCTGCTCTGATTTTGTCCCAGTCTGCCTTGATGTACTGTGGTACTGATCGTCGCTTGGTTTTCACGTACAAGGGTTTTATGTCGCAGTCGGTGATAACCATGTGGTGGTCTCCGACCCATGGTGCAGGTTGGACTTTCTTTACAAGTGACGGGTTATTTGTAAAGAAAAGATCAAGGTTACTGTTTTCTCTCGTCTGTTCAAACTGTAGTTGTGAGAGCGAGTGCTGGTCTTGGATATCAAGTAATTTCTGGCATACTCCGGGCTTGCGAGCACCAGATTCTACAGAGTTTGTATGCCAGTCGATGTCGCCAGTGTTGAATTCACTACCTAGGTGAATAGTTTTAACCTGGCATCTGGCAGGCAGTTTGTTTAGAGAGGTGGTTGTTCTTCCAACTGGTCGGCGTTTCCATCTGGTGGCCTGTAAAAGCTGCCTATGACAAGGGACTTAGCTCCTTCAAGAGTTACTCTGACCCAAATGAGTTCGGCGTCTGAATCGGCTTCTGTAAGCTGTTTACTCACAAAGCAGGACTTAATTGCGATAAAGACTCCGCCTCCGTGGAGTGTTCTGCCTATTCTGTACACCTTATAATCTGGGGGGAACTTTTCTGCCGTGTGAATTGTGCTGTAGAGTTTTGATTCACAACCCAAGATAGCATCTGGTTTGACGTAATCAACTGCGACAGCAAGCTGGGCTTTTTTTGCTTTTAATACCCTCACAATTAACTACCATAGTACTCCAGTTGTTGCCATTTTTACTAAGGGTATCACTAGAGGGGTGAATACCGTGATCATCATTAGATGTACTATTATATCGGTCTAGATCTAGGCGTACCAATAGGACTGGAGGGTTGCTCAGATCGTGGCGAACTAGACAAGATTGGGTTGAAACTAAGATCTGCTGAAGCCACAGAAATGTTTGCATCGGTAGCAGATCTAAGAACACTGAAGCGGTTATGTAGGTCAAGTTCATAATAATGAAATGTAAATGATGCGACATTTTGGTTGTCGCACTTGGCACAAATCCAAGAACCGTCCGATTTCTCCAAGCTACGTATGTGGGATGAGCAGTAACTTAAGCACGTGTTGTGGTACCAAATATGAAATATCACACTGATCACAGCAAATCGCATGCTGCGACCAAGTGACTGCGCGCTCGCAGTACCTGCAAGGGAATATTGAGACGTTCTTGGGTCCTGGGTTTAATTCAACGTTGCCTGTTACCAAGAGAAGTGCTACAAATTACAATTAAAACGGCCAGCTGCTTAGCGTGTTTAGGATTAAACTTTCCTCTGAAAGGGGTTAGGCCCCGAGAGTGTTTCCTTGAAACACAGACTGCTGCGATAGGTGTTTGACTGATGATGGAGTTTGTGATAACTCCAGGCTTCAAGGTTGCTGACTCGTAGCTCTGGAAGACGAGAAGCAGACTTTTAGCTTCTGGCTAGGACAATATAGTTAGCAGTAGGATTGTTAGTTTCAATATATACATGAGGGTTCACCAAGAGTTCAGACAATACTTCAGTTAAGATTAATTCATATGCGGGAACGGTTCTAAATGTAAGCAAACAAGATGGCTGTTCTTGGAGCTGGGATTTCGTATCTCAAAGTTGAAGAACGGTACAAAGCTCATAAAATGTGCGTCCGGTAGGCCTTGACTGTGGTTAAGATTGTTTAGTTATAGGTGTTTCAACTTTGTACTTATGTGCAGATAGACGCCACAACGAAGTAATTACTAAATTAATTTACTGAGTAATATTATACTTGGTAGTAGTGCTAGACTTCGTCCCGGCAGCCGCCCCGGTAACACGCAAGAGACGAGATAGTAGGCTGTGTTAGTAGTTATAGCGAATATATAACACTCGCACTGTGCTGAATTTGGAAAGCCCACCAACTTATACGTCCAAGTGTAAACAAAGAGCAAGTGTAAGTTCCGGCAGGAAAATTCTAAAAATAAAATGGCTGCCGCCTGCCGGTAGTTTTGTAAACCCAGCTATAGTTTTGTAGTACACAGCACTCTACAAGGAACTAATTATTAGCTGTATAGCAATTATTTTACCAAGCGATGAGATACGTAGTTATATTTGTTAGTAGAGAGTTATTTAATGAAACTATTTCAACTAATCCTGACACGTCATGCCACGACCACAACGGAAACGTGTTTAAGTCGTGTGTTGCAGAGGAGCATTTGAAGGGCATTTACAGGAGGTTATTGCAGGCAGTTAATTTCTCAGTTCTTCCGCTCGTTCATGGTCTGGTTTGTCACAGAATATATGTACATATACTTAATGGACCGAGAGCGCACGCTACACTCGAGATGGCACCGATTTTTGTCACAAATAACCTGGTGACCTGTGACGTCACACAACCCCTTAGCTAATTACAAACTCGCTTATTGTTAGTGGTCTGTTGACATGCATAGAGTACTGCTAACAGAGATTAGGAATATTTGTATGCATGTCAAAACTCTAATTTGAGTTGGTGGTCGGGCAAGACACGTGGCCAATAATTGAAATATAACAAGAACAGTCAAAAACAAAACAAGAATGCAGTTAGTACTAAGTAGTTAAGAAAATTATCTAAAGTGAACAAAACAAACTACATGCAAGAGTGGGGATCTAACATTTCATAAAATGGCTCTTGGTAAAAACTTAAAAGGGTCACCTGCCACTCTGAAGTGACTTAAGATGACTTGTTGAACTCAACAACTGACTTGAGTTGACTTGAGCAAAATGTTTGACTTGACTTGACTTGGGCAAATAAGTAAATGACTGACTTGACTTGTGACTCGACCACTGTTGACTGGACTTGACTTGTGACTTGACCCGAGGGTGACTCGTTACAACACTGCGTATATCTGACATCCAAGATTGGCCAAAGGGTTCGCCCATTCTACCCTGGGTTGTCTTAGAGCTGAGTGGCAGGGGTAGGAAGTACATGAACCCAAAATGCCATGCCCCATGTAAACAGGCAGTGGTTCCACTTCACAAAACTGAAGAGCATATTCCACAGGATTTTAATGCTTTCTCTGCATAGGCTATGTTCCACCTAAGTCCAAGCGTAATAATTCGAACAAATGAACACTGGGTTTGGCACAGATACAAATATGGGGGCGCATGGTCTTATTTGTGCGCTGCTGGTGTTCAACAAAGCGAGTGTTGTCTGAATCTAGTGCTCACAGTTTCCCATCTCTGTCTTTCTGTGATATTGTGCAGAGTGGTTTGCAACTTTGCATATGATGATATTGCTTGTTGTAGAGGAGGATTTTTTTCTTTAAATTAACTAATGATGATGCATGCTGGTTACCAGTTGCAATTTACCCTACAAGCTGCTGTACGTGTGGTGCTGAGGTTTACTGCTTGTTGTTGGGTGGTGCTGGTTGTGTGTTCTTAAATAGCATGATGTATCAACCTTAACCTTAACTGATGCAGGGAATTTAACGAGCGAGTTAAATTGTATAATGATAAGATATGGACATGTCAATGCACCGGGCGCGTCAATCTGACACACAAACAAGCGATGGAGTCAGAGGCTGCTGCAAGACTTGTGCTTAAGGAGAGCTTCTCACCCGTGTTCGAAAAGCCTGTATTAGAGCTGTCACATCACAGTAAGTTGCCGTTATTATAGTCGATGTTATAATAATAACACTTCTGTCAAAGGGGATTTAGCCTGCAGATTTTGTTTGTACTGAATTTTGCCCACTACCTGTGTGAATGACTTCTGTATTGACTCCTTCTTACTACACAAAAATAAGAATGCTATTTTCAAATGGCTTCTTTCAGCTGCATATGACTATTAGTTGATCTATATCTGATCATATGTCACCTCTGGTTATATTGGTAAAATTTGGACAAATATCCATGTGTATCTAAGTTTATAATTACAACTATTGTATGCGATTGGGTGAATATCGCGTTGTCGTTTTTTAGGCACGTCCTCATTAGATACACTCGTTGACACATGCAGTGACGCACTCTATGCGTTATTTGTCGTCGGTGAGGAAGTGTCTTTCAAAGTCCAAATGACGGAAGCAGTGTAAGTGCTAAATCATTGTTTTCAAGAAGAGGCTATAGCTCGGATTATTGGGAATTATGTTACATGGTTGGTTAGTCTTCTACTAGAGGTGTAACGATACACTAGGGTCACGGTGCGATACGATATGGTACAGTACGATACTACGGACAGAAAGAGACATTGTAAATTGCATGCCATGGTAAATATTTAATACAAACAACATTCAGCTACTTTATATATCAGGGTTTCATCTACATAGGAGGCACTACGGCGCACCGCCGTTGTCAAATTTAACAACGCCGCTGTGAAAATGTTCCTGTATTTACCCGCTGTTGTCAAAATAGTGTCAACCCAAAAATAAATAGATCACCACGTGCTTCTGACTATAATACATGGAAAATTGTATTATGAAATTCACAGCAACGTTTCTTTTTGCGTGCCGGCACACTCGTCTGTCATTCCCGATTACAGCTTTTTCCCCGATTCTGGGAAAGTTTTACTGTCGTTCCCTCATATCAGCGGTGCCCACCCCTACATATACAGCAATAAACATGCCCACGCGACTAACAATCAGTGCATGCGCCCTCTCCCCCCCCCCCCGTACTTCAATCAATGCTGCCGCAGCCACGATGTGCACTGCCACAGACGTGGGTAACGGGTGCCGCGTTTAGCTCAGCGCCGAATGTGCACCGTGTGCGGGCTGGTTTGCGTGCGCATTCGGCGCGTGCGTTTATTCAGTACATATATTCTGTTAGCATTCGAAGAAAAGAAGACAAAATTAAATTTTAAGATATAAAAACTTTAATTCTGAAGTGTTACATACAGTTTTTTTTCTTTTGCATGAATGTGTAGGGCATGCAGGAGTGCACGAGAATGGGTCCAGACGCGTGAGACTTGGTAGGTCTGCTAACAGAGTAAGATTTAAACTAAAAGGTGAAATTTTATTTTCAGCGTGCCTCAAATGCAGTCTAAGACATTAAAAAAATTAAAATTTTGCTAGGTGAGACCCCCAGAACCCCCACTACCTCTCTCCCCCCGCGTCTGCCTGCAGAATCCACATTCGTGCCTATTCATTTCATGACTGTATTTCTATTTAATGTGAATACTTGTATCATTTCATATTCATAGTTTATTTGTTCCTTTTGACAACTTGAAAAAGAGATTCAAGAGTCTCATACAATGTGTTTAGAATAGCTTAGAATGCACTAAATTGCACCATTTTTTCCAAAATTTCTTGGGGAAGCATGCCCCCAGACCCCGCTAGCTGGGCGAGCTTCTGCGGTGCTCGCTTTGCTATGTCCTCGAGACCCACAAACACGCCTTTGAATCCGTTATATGCATGTTTTTTCCCCAAACCGGCCATTACCTCCATTGTCTAATTTTCCCCCAGAAGAAACCCTGTATATATATATATAATATATATACAGGGTTCTCCAAGAGCACTTATAGCCTGGTGGCCCACCAGGCTATCGTCGAGCCCCGCCATCCTAAAATCCACCCGCCACTCTAAATATCATAGCCCCCGGACCCCCCTAGCACGCAAACCGCCTTCGGCGATTTGCAACTAGGACCGTAAAGGCAGCACCTGCCATGCTATAATGAAAAAGCTTGGAAAACCCTGATATATATATACCAAAACCATGGGAGAGAGGTAGAGGGGTGTTCTGTGAGTCTCCCCCATGGTTTTGGTGGGTACCAGCAAAATTTAAAAAATTTGAATGTCTTAGACTGCATTTGAGGCACCCCGAAAATAAAATTGCACCTTTAGTTTATATCTTACTCTGTTAGCAGACCTACCAAGTCTCACGCTCCGCATTTCGCGGGAGACTGACGCGTCTGGACCCTTTCTCCCGCATGTCCTATGCATTCTCACGCAAAAGAAAAAAAGAAGAAAAAAAGCAGCCCGCGACACCCCTGTTACCCACGTCCGTGGCTGTGCACATCGTGGCTCGTGCTTGCTGGCTGGGGCGGCATTCATTGAAGTACGGAAGGGGGGGGCGAATGCACTGATTGTTACAGTCGTGTGGGCATGCTTATTGCTGTATTATGTAGGGGTGGGCACCGCTGGTATGAGGGAGCGACAGCAAAACTTTCCCGGAATCGAAGAAAAAGCTGCAATCGGGAATGACACGGGAGTGTGCCGGCACGCAAAAAAGAAACGTTGCTGTGAATTTCATTACAATTTTCCATGTATATAGTCATATGGTAATCTATTTGTTTTTGGATTGACACTATTTTGACAACGGCGGGTAAATACAGGGACATTTTCACAACGGCGTTGTTAAATTTGACAACGGCGGTGTGCCGCAGTGCCTCCTATGTAGAAGAAACCCTGATATATCTATGGCTGAAACACACCAAGACGTTCTGGGTGCTCTTGACTGATCTGTAATCCACAGACCTGGTTACATGCGCCATACACAGTGTTACAGTACGTGCGCATAAATGACACGCACCAGTCAATCAGCTCTCTTGATTGTTTTGTGGTTACAATTTTGGTGGCAATACAAGCGCATCACATATCAAGATTTCTACGACATCCATGGATTTTTACGTGATTCTGAGAGGGAGTTCATATAATAAAAGAAAGAATTCAATTTAAAAGGAATTACATGTGCTTTATTTAAAAAATAGTTTAGCTTGCCTTATTCACAGCTTCACATTTAACGTCTGTATCGCATGTATCGCGGTATGGACGCCGATGTATTGGTGAATCGTTACACCTCTATCTTCTACTAAAGCCTAGGACACACTGCGCGATTTTCTACGCTGGCCGCTTGCGATCGATAAATACGGTGCCGGGTCCGTGCGGTGTGTCCGGTCTCACGGCAGCGTATTTCGCTCGCGATCGCATACGCCCGGCGCATCGCTCGTATTCCACATGTTGAATATTTCCGCCCGGTTTTTCGACCCGGCACCGTATTTATCGATCGGCAGATCGCAAGCGGCCAGCGTAGAAAATCGCACAGTGTGTCCTAGGCTTAATAGACATTTAACTTTTCAATATGATACTTTGGCCATAATAAAAATATTGTTTGTTTGCCCTCACCCGACCGACCTGCCAAAAAGGGGCCGACTCAAAAAAAATTTGATTTGTTTTTTTTACAAATTGTAGCAGTGTACATTATATAAATCTAAATCTGTAGGCAATACATTATATGTACCAAGCAAAACAAACATTAAACATAAAAGGTATCACCACACAAGCACACCCGAGCGTGTAGACACCATGCTGAATTTGTAAAAAGGCTCCTTAAAAAAAGCCTACTTACCTACCCAAACTTTCCAGCCTGGGTCGGGTGAATAGTTTGGGTAGGTAGGTAGGCTTCTTCTTTTTTTTGAGGGGGTCTTTTTACAAATTCAGCATGGTGTCTACATGCTCGGGTGTGCTTGTGTGGAGATACGTTTTATGTTGAATGTTTGTTTTGCTTGGTACATATAATGTATTGCTTACAGATTTATATAATGTACAGTGATACCAGTGTTCGAAATAAGGGGAAAAAAATTGCTTGTCCAAGATATTTTTACGTGTCCTGCAAAATTTTTGCTTGTCCTGGTCAATAACATAGAAATATAGTAAATGTGGTATAGTTATACATTTAATCAAATGAAATTTTAGACCCAATATCGTACTTTGTAATTTTAATACAGTTCACTAACAGTTCAAATTAAACCGGAAGTGACGAATTTCGTCGGGTTGTATCTAAAAGGCGAATCGAAAATTTACGAAATGGACTGCAAAAATGGCGGCGGCCAGCGATGGTAGAAAATGATAAAAAATTACTATAAAAAGCTGCTTGTCCAGTGGACAAGCTACTGGACAGGTCTACTTGTCCTCCGTGGAAATGGACAGGCGGACAAACGGATAGCCCTTATTTTGAACACTGGATACAATTTGTAAAAAAAAAAAGAATGGGAAAGATCAATAACATTTTTCGAGTCATCCACTTTTTGGCGGGTCGGTCGGGTGAGGGCAAACAAACAATATTTTTATTATGGCCTAAATTGTTTGCAGAATTCAAGGCAGGATTGTACAGGCATTACCAAACAGAGGAGGGACAGCATCACAAAAGGTAGCTTTTAAGTCTTTCTGGTTAATGATTAAGTCACGCTTCATACAACTTATATAGTTTATGTTAATCCACTACAGGGTTCTCCCCAGGATGAAATTGAAACAGGGGGGGAAGGGAGGGGAAACTAGGGGGGTGTGTTTTTTTACCGTACCACTAATTAATGCGTAAAATCGCCACCACACCATAGACGGTATTTGGGGTTCTTGTATATATAAGATAGCCGAGTCTGTGTACAGTTAGTGTTGGGTTCGGGACAGGTTAACTGCTTGTACTTGTGTATGGTCTGCAGTGCATGCGTCGTACGGTAAAAATACACGCGTCGGTGGTCCTGGTCGAATGGGAATTCTTGACGATTGATTCCCGCGCTGCCAAACTTTTATTGTGGTGGAATTTAATCGGGGCGGAGGTAATTTAAACGGGGCGCAACGATTGAAACAGGGGGCAGTTTTCCCAAACGGGGCGCGTGCGCCCCGTTTGCGCAACGTAGGGAGAACCCTGCACTATAACCCGTATCGCAAAGGTAATAGAGAACCAATCAGTAATAAGCTGCTGCTTGCTAAGTCACCAAAATGCAAATCATCTACAGCATACAAGTTACACCAAATGACTTGCATTTTCAGTTGTCTAATGAGTAATGACCCATTTGTAAGTTCAAAATGTGTGTCTTGTGTGGGTAATTGCTAAGCTGGTAATTTGGTAAAATTACTGAATTATTGGCAATTCAATGTTTAATGTTTAATGCACTGGTTTTGCCTTACCTGCTGATAAATAACCTACTTTTAGACACAGTACACACACCAGATGCACCAGATGGATACACTGGCATAAGAATATATGAAGGAACTGTTAACCTATGTTCAGGGCTTCGGTTTCATAGTTGTGGCATGCAGAGTAACGATTTACAGTTGACTTTACATAAGGTTTACAAGATGTCATAAATTTGGCTAGAAATGAATTTCATTCAATTAGCCAAATGATTACGTTTTCCACCTATCTAGGACACTAAAATTTGAACACTGAATCAACAATAGATTCCTTTATGGATCATTCGATAAATTATGTAGAAACATTTAAAAGTTAACTGTTACTAATACTCACGTTTGTCTTTTATTTCACATTTTTATAATGTATTTGTTTTAGTCTGCTGAAAATGGAAGCAATAGTAGTTCCCCAGCAAGTGACAAGGAAAACTCTGACCATACATATGGCAAATCTTCTTTGAACAGTCCATCCAAAAAGGGAGCAGCTAAGGTTTGTTTATTCTGGGCATTTAGATGTCTAGAAAATTAAAAGTAGAGCATATAAATGATGTATATAATATATACAGTTAAACCTCGATTATCTGAACGAGACAGGCGGGGAGTATTTTGTTCGGATAACTGATGGTCTAGTGGCTTATTAAATATTCACAGGACCTTGAGATCTTGTTCGGATAATGGATGTTCGGAAAACCGAGGTTTGACTGTAATGCAGCTGGTGTTTGGGAAAATATGACATTCTAGTGGCCGCGTCCACATTTTGTTGTATAGTATGGTCCATTGATTTATCTTGATGTTTATTTTTATTTTCTAATTTGATCAAGGATTATTTTGTGGCACCAATCACTACTCATAATATCTTAACAGGAAGTATATATATTTGAATAATCAAATTTGGAAGAATGTTTCATTTTGTCACATTGGTCTTAAACGTGTTCCATAGATCTTATAAAAGGATTCAGGAGATTTTCTAGGTTGATACGAAATGCTGAGTGTACAGCGGTTGGTCTGCACTAATGTGTAATATTCACTCGTCTTCTGCAGCTATTGATGGCGTACCATTACAATGTACAGCTGAGGGACAAGATAATCAGTGGTGTGCCAGCAAGTGAGCTCAGGTACACTTTCCACTGTGTGAAATACTATATTACCAGCTGATAATATAAATACAGGGTTCTCTCCAGTTATTTCAGAAGCCATGTCGAGCGATCGGGTATTTCTAATTGCTCTAGGGGGAACTCTGACATATGGTTAGCTAGTGGGCAATATGTCAATTCCAATTATGTAGAGTAGAATGCCAAATCTGTGAGCCACGATGCCTAATTAGTAATGTTTTTTTTCTCATGTCTGTAGTCGCATTGAAAAAGTTCCGAACAAGGATACAATACGGTTATTCATTCGTGCAAATGCCGTTCGATTTGGAACATCTGCCAAAGCCCCGTGGGTTGTGGAGGAAAAGCTTGTGAAGAAATATGGGATCCCAGGCAAATTTGCTGATTTTCTCGTCTCTCCATCCAAGGTACTTCAAGACAAAGAGATTAATTATGTCGGATGTATTCGTACAAGTGGTTGTAGTTTTCATCCAGCTGGCTTGTATTAGTCAGTGGTAATCCAGTATAATTTATGATAATAATAGTGTGTTAATGATCATGTGTGTTTAATAAACTCTTTATCACCGTAGATGGCTGAACTCGGAGACAAGTCCGTAGCGTTATCGAAAGCTAAAGCTAATGCTAAGACCACTGACGGTAGCAAGAAGCAGCCAAAGAAGAGGCTAAACATGGGCAAGGGTGTGACAAAAACTCGAGTAAAGGCTAACAACAAGGCATCCTCACCTATCAAATATTCATCTATGAAAAAAGTATCAGTCAGTATCAACAGAGTGGCACTGGTTCCCAGAAAGTCGCCTGCAAAAAAATCTCAGACATCTGCAGGAAAATCTCCAGAGAAAACGGCAAAGAAGTTGGGAACACCTGTGAAAAGTCCTAAGAAAAATGAGAAATCCCCCTCTAAAAAATTGGTAAAGAAGGTCGCGTCTACTGTATCAAAAGCGAAAGCCAAGAACAAGAAAAAACCAGGGAAACAAGTGAAGGAAAAACAAAAAGAAAATGAGAGAAAGAGGAAGTCGGTGGCAAAGGGGAAAGCATCTCCTTCCAAGAAAAGTGCGACTGAGTCAACAAAGCTAAAATCTGCAGAACAAAAGGGCAAGAGTGGTTCTTCGTCAAAGGTGTCCATTAATTTTGTATCGGTTTGAGCTTAGCTAATGTGGAAACCTTGTGTGTGTTTTTAGCACAATTGTGGTAGCACAAGTTGAAATGGCTTCACCTATGCCAAACCGATTTCAGATATATGGTCAGAGGTGTTTTGTCAGTATTACATTAATTTTAAACACTCAACTTATATTATTATACTTTCTGAACAGCCAGAGCATATCCTACATTTTTAGCTCGCCTTGACATCGTCAAGATGAGCTATTGCCATGGGGTGTCGTCCGTCCGTCCGTCCGTCCGTCCATCAACATTTGGCTATGGTCCACGATAACTCAAGAACCGTTTGACCCACATGTTTCAAATTGCATACAGTTGTTACTCCTATGGGCGAGGTTTGAACGTCCTATTTTGGAGCACGCCAGTCGACATACTTTTTGGCAAAAATGGAAATGGCCATAAGTCAATTTAGGTTCAACGGATTTTGCTCATTTCTAGTATGTGAATGAATAAGGACTGGCCCCAAAACATATCACACAGGTTTTGATTTTTTTTTTAATTATGCAAATTAGGTAGATTTTGGCAGTTTCACTATGCATTTCAGTGTCTGCCGACGGTCAACGATAACTCAAGAACCGTTTGACCCACATGTTTCAAATTGAATACAGTTGTTACTCCTATGGGAGAGATTTGAACTTCCTATTTTGGAGCACGCCAGTCGACCTACTTTCGAGCCACGCCCACTTTTTGGCAAAAATGAAAATGGCCATCCAAATTCATTCGATTTTGTTAAATTTTGGTATGTGAATGTGTAAAACTAGCCCCAAAACAGTTGTTACTCTTATGGGAGAGATGACAACGTTCTATTATGTTTATTTCGTCTAACTGGTCAACAACTCTACAATCATACTTATATACGTGTAATATTGTGTTTTAGATTCTTCGTTACAGTAATTTGACTGGAATATTTTATTGTTTTTATTTGCGCGATATTCGAAAACCAAAATGGCGATCATTTAGGCGTAGCGCCATCTCTCGTCAAGATTTCAGACTTTCAGATCTGAAACATTTATTTTCACATCAAAACTTATGCATATATCATTATTAAGAGTATATAATGGGAGATATGCTATATAATGGGAGTTCTCCCATATATACTCTTGCTTTATATATCCCCCTCCCTCTTCTATCACACCCAAGGTGAGCTACAGTGTCATTGACATTTTCATTATGTATAAAATTTATATGTACATATCGGCAAATCAATCGTATTTATTCTTTTGAATGTACTGTGTTCTGTTATCGATGTTCATTAGGGAATGTAAGTACTTTCTGTTTTTCACTGCAACAGCCCTTATACGAACAATTACAGAAAATGAAGCAGATGACTTTACTGGACATGAAGATGAAACCTGGAAACAAGACACCGACATCTTCCCCCAGTAAGCCAGCTGCACCCCGCACACCTTCCATCGTCGTGAGGTGTGTATCGTTGCAGGGTATTCATATGAATGCAAAAGTCCAGTCCCCTCTAAGGATTGGCTCTGATTTCTGTTTGCACGATAGAGTACAGTTTTAATAAATGTTCATGCTAAACCCACGTTCTGAGTGCACCAATTGCACCACATTTTATTATTCTAATAAAGATATAATTATTGTGTAGGTTGAAGAGGGCAATGAAAGAAAGTAAGAATAAAGATGACAAGCAAAGTAAAGCAAAGGTCACCAAGTTACTGACGCAGTGCACTAAAGAACTCAAAGAAAATCAAGTGAGTAGTGACTCTGAGAGTCTTGGAGACATACGTGATAAATGATCTGATGCATAGTAGCCCTCTATACTGTTAAGAGATACTTGTAGTTGATTAGTATTGTTTTACAGAAAGTAACTGCGACAGGATAAAGATTTACTTTTTGCAAAGTAACGTGACAGAAAATGGTGGGGTTTCGATGTGCTGTGTGACGAATGTTACAGTATCAGGCTGCTATATAGATTTGTGCAGTTTGTAAACTTAAAACTAAATATGACACTTGTCAAAAACATGCATTAAAATTGGAAAAATTGCTGCGTAAAAAATGTATAATACATGACATACATAATTAATTCCATTTTAGATGAAAATTCTTCCGGAAGACATCCGCGCAAACATTCAGAGACAGATTAACATTCTTTCTTTGAGAGAGAGGCTCAAGAATATGTCACAGGAAGAAAAGCGGGATTACTTTAAAAGCAAACAGAAAGAAAAAAGAGACGAACGAAGGGAGTTGGATAAGGTATATTGTTGTAATATTGTATATATTATAATTTCCACATTTAAGGTAGATGTATTAAAATGTAAAGAAAGAAAGAATGTTAAACATTAGTGTGCAATATTATTTAATAATTTTATTATATTATGTTATATATTAAATTTTTCTACAGAAATTTGATGATAAGGAATTGGCGAATTTGGAGCCGCTACCCATGCCTAAGTTAGTGCAGACACCGGATGGTCTTCCTAATGATTTGTTTGGAGATGTTGCCATGGTTACTGAGTTTCTCAACTGCTATGCCGGACTGCTGATGCCAGATGACCCATATCCCATACATTCAGGTATTTTATTTGCAGTGTCTGACATTTGATCAAGGCAATTGCTAGTCAGTTATTTGCTAAATAATGGAAGATTGACTATGACAGGGGCGTAGCTACCATAACGCAGATACGCAGTTGCATACACATCATTTCAACAAGCATTTTTTTATTGGAGAGAGAGAGAGAGATAGAGTCAGTCAGTGACTGGATGTGCCAAAATACACCATTTTGCACCATTGTTTGAAAAAAATTTCAGGGGGTGGGGCATGCCCCTAGACCCCCCCTAGCACACGGCCACCTGTGGCGCCCCCGTATGTGCGTACACATCCAGTTTAACCTAGCTACGCCCCTGTATGAGTTATGGTTGAGTTTGCATATCATCTGTTAACTTTTGAATTGTTTTAAGTTAGGAGTGATTATTTGATTTTGGAATGTTTCTGTGTGTGAATTCTCTAGTGTTCATGAATAGCAGGTTTCATAATTAATGTAGCGTAGATAATGGTCAGCATTGTAAAGTATACACATTCTAATAGTTCCTAACCTAGCAGCTTTTAATGTACAACGTATGCAGTTAGCATTAAATATAGTAATTGTAATATTATATAAATTAATTATTTATTAATAATTAGTTATAGGTAATATAATATAATTTCTCGTCTATTTGTTTGTTATTAGTAATGTTAGTTCTATGAATGCTGTGCAACAAGATAACTAGTAGCAGCTGTAAATTATATTTGTTGATTCCCTTGAGAAATTGGACTTTATCATTCATATTATGGGAAATGGATGTGCTCTTTTGTAGATGCCCTGATGAAGGCACTTGTGGCGGGCCCGGAAGGTTTTGGCTATCTATCCCGTATCCTAGTCATCCTGCTGCAGACTCTACTCCAAGATCAGATTGCTGATGTATGTGTGATATATTCTGTTATCTTTTGATAATTGGTGAATTATTAACACAATTCCTATAGGAGGTTACTGTTACTTTAATAAAAAGAATCACAATATTTTATATGGAAGTTATGGTGGCAGGCTCGGTTAAATAGGTTGTTTGCAAAACTACAGTGTTGTATTCTTATGGATAGAAGGGCATTGTAGCAAAGATATTTGCATTTGTGAGATTCTGAGGTACAGTCGAAGTAATTGTAGTTAACATTACCATATCTGCCTCCACAGATATATTCTTGCTAGTGCAGTCAAGCTCGCCTAGTTTGGACGTGCTGTACGCCAAAGTGTTGACTTTACAGCACCCGGACACCATATTCAGCATTTGTTTTAGAACGTACTATTGCAACTGTCCAGAGTTGTGTCAATTACATTTTTCCTGGATTTAACCTATAGCAAAGATGTGTCATATCACCATCATGAGCACAAACATGCATGTAGCTGCAATAATAATTAATTAATAGAGTAATTAGTTAGAAAAACCACAGAAGCTGCTCGTTTGCAGCGTATTTGCAAGACCAGTACAATGCTACATTAAAGCGTGTTCCCCATGTACCTACTGGATTGCCCACATCAAGGAGCACAAGCTGGGTCCCTTACAGCCATTATAATTATAGGCTTCGCCTTTTCACGGGGCCCATCGGCCCAAGCCCGTAAACAGCCCCGTCTCCAGTGTCCACGGGGCTTTTTTTCCGGCCCTGTCAAATTTTGAAATTCCGAGAATCGAAAACGAATCGAGAAAGAACACCGATTGCTATAAATTCATATTATTATACCAACAGGGCCTAATCCAAGCCATTTTTCATACCGAATACCGGCGCCCAAATTACGACCCCTAGCAAAACGCCCAAATTACAAAATTCATAAAAAGCCCAAATTACAAAATTCATAAAACGCCCAAATTAGCAGTGCACTGATGCAGATCTCCATGTTTCTGTCGTTATGTAGGCACTGTTTTATAATAAAATGCTCATATAACATCTATAATCTATTATCTGAATAAAATGTGTCGACCAAACACCCAATTTAATGTGATAGATAATTATATATATATAATTTTTTACGCTCGCCATGGGTGCCCATATTAAGCAGCTAGGTTAGCCCCTCACCAAATAGTAGGGAATAAGCATAGTAACAATACATATAAATGTAACAAAGCTTTTATTAGGTAATTCATTAGTTTAACAAAATCAGCCCGCCCAGGAAAAAAATCAACCCCGTCGAGTAAATGACGGGGCCTTTTTTTAGGCCCGTGGTTTTCTCCGACGGCGAAGCCTGATAATTACCTGACCATCCCCCCAAAGACATGCTGGTGTGGACATACCGGTGTGCCCAACTCATGATTGCGTGGCAGTAATTTGAAATAAACATACATTAACAGACACTACTCTGCTGTAATTATATCAGGGTTACAAGGAGCTGAAGCTGGCCTTGTCGGAGATACCGCTAAACATGTGCACCGCGTCAGAGCTAGCACGGCTCTGTCTGCGTTGCCACAACAGCAATGATGATGCCAGCGACGACTCGGACGATACGGATGAGGAAACCGATGTGGTGAGTCCATTAAATTTATCACTGCCTAACTGCATGATGTATCGTACTATTCTGATGGCATAATGTACATGTACATACTACATAGTTGCTGTGTCTTGCTTCAGTTTGCTGGTAATCGTTGGTATAAATACTAATTTCACAATCGTGCCTTGTCAGGGTTTTGTGCGGGTTAAGTTTAGGCCTGACTTAGTTCCGAGCCATTTAAAATCAAAGTGGAGGTTAGCCCACAATTTTAAAGCATATAATTACCTTAATTTTACAATTTTTCACAATGGCAATTTTTACTTAAACTGGATCTTATTCAGTAATTTTACCAAGAGTGATAGTTTACAAACACGTCATTTTTCACATGATACATTATTAGGTAAACGACACGGTTACACAGATAAACCCCTGCTTGTAGTCAGATACAAGTCAGCTGCTCAACTTTGTGTTGTATCTTCCTGTTGGTGAGATGGTGCATATGGTGCACTGTTTAATTTCACAATGCATTGTATTGTAGTGACAGAACATGTTAGTTAATGCTGTGTTGTTGACAGATGCATGCATACATTCCTTGCTGCCATTTGTATGCAAAATATATTTAGGCACTGTTTTATTTTCGAAGTTGTGATTGATCAGGTGGTGTATATAATCTTTATTGTCAACTGCATTTGTGGTTAAATGCCTAACCGTTTCTATTGTGCCTGATCGCATGACTGCTACTGCATTCACAGTTGTATCTTCCGTGTTCTTCAGCCCCTACACATGGTGGAGTTACTAGAGGACAAAGAGTTCCACAGCCTAGAGGCAGAGCAGAAGCTGCAGCTTCTCGTGGCGCTCTGCAACCGCATCATGTCTTCTTACTCGGTCATCAACTACATGGAGGAGAAGCAGCAGGCCGCTCATGAGCTCTGGTGCGTTGGCCCTAGTGATGGGAATCGTTGGAATTTCATCGACGATCATCGGTTGCACCCAACCGATCGATGATCGAAGATAATCTGTTGAATGTTATTGATCGCAGCTACCAGATATTGAAATATATCGTGTATCATATAATAGTTTTTTTTTAACTACAATATTCTAAAAGCTATGTAACGGTATTATACTTGCTTATGTTTGGTGTAGGTTAGAAAAGTAACCTAACAAAACACACAAATAAAAATAAAGATCAATTTCATCAATGTCATTTTATTTTGCAAACATAACTGTTTGCTGACTAACTTGCTGGACATAACTAGTTGGACCCCTGGTGTATCGGCTCTCTAAGTGTGCGGACTGTGAACTTTTGCGTGTCTTGCTTTCCATACTATTTACGCAGACGTGATCTCTTATTTCGTGTTTTACACACATCAGATCTGACAGTCTGTTAGTACGGGATATGTCATGATGATAAGCATTCGTGAAGTGAGTGTTGTTGCTTTTGTTACTTGACAGGCAACAGAAATATACAGACAGGCTGGAGCAGAAACAAGAGCGCATTAAACTGAACCAGAAAAACATGGAGCAGGCTTCGAAGGAGGGAAATGTTCAGAACAGTGCAAACGGCACTTCTCCAACAGATGAACAGAAGGAAGCCAAAACTCCCGAGGAGGAGAGTGCGGACACCAAGAGCAAGGAGAAGCCAAACGGGAAAAAAGACAAAGTGGACAAAGGTGAGGATGCATGTGATGTCATGTGAAAGTGATATGTCCCTGAATCTTCACTGGGCCATTGCTGGAACTATCCTGCACTCCTTCGGTCTGTCTTGTGCCACAGCTTGTGCCTTGTCCAATGAAACCCTCATCTCGTTCAGCACAGGCACCAATGTCCATCAGCAGGTGTGCCCTGTGCGCTATCATGTGGGGGGGTTGAAATGACATGTCAATCTGTGCAGGTTCTTGACTGGATAATACTAAAATAGTGTTTAACAATCACTACATATCTAATTTGTCTATACGTGCGTCATCTCTGTGATTCATGCAGGATTGACGTTGAAGCACTTCTATGGGGCTAACGATGTGACCGAATTGAAGGAAGCTGCTAAAGACACCGAGGGGCCTGATGATAATCCCGAAGATTTGGCTTCAGTTGTGAGAAGGCGACGGGTGCTGGCACAGAACCAGAAGTTAGAGAAAGAGCGGCGAGAGATGGAGTTGAAGGAAAGGTTAGAGAGGTTTCAGTTAGAATGTGACTGTGTAACGACTGCTACTGCAACCTAGGGTGCTATTTTCAGGAACATCGTAGCTCTACAATTTAGGGCTAATATTACGACTCAAATGTTTAGAAAATAGCCCCCTGATTTCTAGTTAGCAATGTTGGAAAGGTTAAGTTTAGCTAAGCTGTAGCAGGGTGCGAAATTAACGCGAGTCCGGAGTCAAATACTCCTTGATTTGCTGTCGGACTCCCTGAGTTGACATATGCAGAAGTCCGTGTAACTCCCTGAAAATTCTGCTATACTAACTATTTCGTTCCAGAGCACGGCCTCGCAGAATGACCATATTTTTTTTAGCAAATGACCCAAGAAAATTGACAGACGTGCACCGCAAATGTCCTTTTTGTTAATATCTCGGGTACTACTATGTTGCGGACTCCCTCTTTTTGATGGTAGGGAGTCCGTTGGACTCGCTTGTTCCAAAGTTATTTTCTACTCCTTACTTTAGTTTAAGTGGTTGCTAATTTCTGATTGACATAGAGCATCTGCACACACTAAGGCGTGAGCATTATGGAATATCTTTACGGAAAAGTGACATGTTATGGACAGTTACGGACAATTCCGGAACAGCCTGTATAAATGCTCACGTGTGCAGTTTGCCAATAAGAAGATATATACCTTTTATAGTTTCCCCTGATTATCAGCAAGCTATGTGCAAGACTTGTGCAAGTTTTCAGATAAGGCATTGCTAGCAATGGGGAATAGTGTTATGGCTGCTATGCTGTTATTCATACAGTTAACATGCTTGAGCAATGCTATATGTACAGTAATCATCTTGCTAAAATCTGTTCTATACATGTTTTCTTTGTTTTTTCAGAGAAAAAGAGTATCAGGCTGATAAGAAAGAAAGGGCAAAAAAGAAAGCATTTGAGGTAGTGTACACACTATATATGCCTTGCTTATATCTTGCTTGTAGACATATTATTAATGCTTTAGTGATGGGATTTCTGCAATGCTAATTTGATGTGTCCTACTCTTATTTAGGATGTAACTGGCTTAGCAAAGCTGGTTATGAGAAGGAAACCGGTGGGAACAGATCGAAACCACAACCGCTACTGGATTTTCAACATGAGTTTGCCTGGTAAAACTAGAGCAGTATTTTAACTTGTTCTGATGAGTGCAAAAACTGTACTATGCATAGCTAGAGTTGCTATGTTCAAAGGCCACAGTGATTCTGTGTAGTCACTAGTGACTAAAATGCTGATGAACCGATCATAGGAGCTGAAACTAATAACCTATATTTGTGTTGAGAAAACCATTACTGTGGTGTATTGGAGATTTCAATATGCTCTTGTAGGTCTGTACATCGAGAAAGGTTGGGTGCAGGATTACATCAATTACACCATCAACAAAGAAGATAGACAAGAGGCAGATGAAGAGGATTCTGAGAATTTGGAATCAACTTCAAGTAAAGTCATTCCGATATACTCTGTGGAGACGAGGTGAATACAATGTATATAAGCTGTTAGTATGTTAACTTGCACATGTACCTGCCACCTGTCTATGAAGCCCACTTGGCATTTCCTTCTTTTAAAGTGACCTTTAAAAGTTGATTGAAAGTGATTACGTCACCGTAAATACTAAAAATAAAAAAAATATTTCCACTTTTTCACAAAATATAAGTAATTCTGTTCACTTTTTATGGTTAAATAGCTGCATTATACTTTTTATTTTACTATATTGTTTGATGTGAACATACACTCGTGACGCATACATAGCCCATAGCAAGCAATTAATGTCAGGAACACTAATATCAAATCGTCCAGGTTTTTTGGATTTTTAACTAGTTGAGAAACAATCTTATCAGGTAAGAATTTGACGATACGTTTAGTCCCGTTAGTTCTTACTTTTAATGTAAAAAAAATGGCAACAAAAATTTTACAAATTTTACCATAGAAAATTTGTGACGTCGTCAATTGAAAGACTGATTGAAGACCTCATGTATAATATACGACATGTCGAGCTAGGTGGCGGCGATAGTTTGTGCATTGTTTCCTAATGCTCTGCATCTTCTCACAGCACTCCCGCGACCAGCCAGAACCTTTGGTTTGTGTACGACACCCAGAAGGAGATTGATGTGCTGATAGAACACCTGACAAACAAGGGTCTCCGTGAGTCGAAGCTGAAGAGAGATCTCACAAATAAATACGATGAGCTTATCAAAGTCATTAGTGTTGGAAAAAGGTAAGGTTCCCCTTCAAGGGAAAGGTATTAAAAGTATCATTTATAGATGGGTGTCTGGTCTATAAAGTGGTTTTCACTGCATAACTGTGACTCAAGGGAATGCCATAAGTGCCCTTTTTACAAGTTTACATTTCATAGACGTAAGGCTAACACAGGTCTGACAGGTACCTGACTGTATTGACTGCCAATAATCTCCAGAGTCGAATTTTGGGTGCTAGCAAACGTTTGGGGCCGCTGCAAATGCCAGCTGTTGCTTATATGCTATATTTGGATTGATAAGGTAGTATATATCCCATCTGGATGTGTTACTGTGTGGTGCTGCATCTGTCATTTGCATGTATGTATGTGTGTGAGCTAAAGTCATGGGCTGTGTGTGTGTGTGTGGGTGTGGGTGTGTGTGTGTGAGCAGAGGAGATTAACATTTTGTAGCCGTACGTTCAAAACGATGCGTTTCTGGTATGGTGCTGCATCCGCCATATGCCTTCCTGCCATCAGTGCTGTGTGCTCTCTTTATGCCAGCATGCGTGCTTGCACAGGCTTTGCTGTCTGAGTAAACCACGGGGCCTAAAAAAGGCCCCGTCATTATTCGACATGGCTGCTTTTTTTTAAACTGATGAATTATGTAATAAAAGCTTAGTTACTTTCCTATGTATTGTACTTTCGTTTTCGATTCTCGGAATCTCAAAATTTGATGGGGCCGGAAAAAAAGCCCCGTGGGCACCGGAGACGGGGCTGTTTATGGGGGTGGGGCCGATCGGCCCCCGTGAAAGGGTGAAGCCTGCTTGCACAGGTGTGAGGTAAACATTGCTGTCTACGCGTGCTCGTCATCAATGTTTGTGTGTGCAGGCAGCCGACGGTACTGCGGGACTCCGACGGAGACCGGGAGCTCCTGGAAGCATTCAGACAAGAGCTTCTAGAGACCGAGGTCAAGGTCAGCCAGGGCGGGCTTGGTGGCGTGCCGAACACCGAGAAGTGGGAGGAGGAACTCTGTGCCGCCACTTCGTTGAAAGACCTGGTCAGTTGGTGCAATACATAATTATGTGAACATTAGAGTGGCCGGGACGATTCTGGGCTTTCAGTTACAGTAATAAGCCAACTCCCCATTTCATAGCCAGGCATGAGGTTTCGGCTCTCAGACAGCCACCTGACATGCTGCGGTGATGTAGTTGGCCAGAACATAATTTGGAAAACGACGAGTATTTGACTTTCACTCAAAGGTTAAACATGCCAGGTGAACACTGCATCATTGTTGTCATGTGAAAACGGTTTGTAATCGCTTAAAAGATGGCCAAGCGATCATGGTAAAGATCATAATTTGAATAATGAGAATGTGTAAGTAGTGTTTGCTAGCTGAAATGTCCTTCGATACATCCATGTTTTTTTTAATGTGAAACTGGGTTATATTTGCAGTCTGTTAAACCAGGCAGAGTAAATCTGCAAAATAACAGAATTGGAGTAGCAGTAATGCTCGACATGGTTCGGGTGAAGTAGGTTTTCGCCGTTTTGTTAGGGTGCTTGCCTAATCAAGTGTCAGAAGTCGATTCTGCCGAAGTTTGTCACTTGGAAGTTCCAAAGCACGAAGTCGGAGAATTTAACCAAAGAGGAGCAGGATGAAGGGGAATTAAATGATTCTTTGGAAAAACAAAAAGGTATTTTTGCATCAAATGTTCATGTCACTCTCTGCATTTTAGTTTTATTATTGTATCACGATCATCATTATTAAAAAGAACGTTAATGACAATTTACTGTAACATTTCTACGAAGGGATATATTTGCATTTGCATACTGCAAGGTCGAATTTTATGATCAAACTAAAATCTGCCAATAGTGAGTGCAACTCCTCATCATATGTAGTATGCAATACAGAATTAACTATTCTAAGATTATGTATGCATTTATCATGGTACGATTTTTTTCTGCAGATGTAGAGATGAAGACCAATGGCAAGAATAGGTGGCAGGAGGAGGTCGAGAATTGTACCACGCTGTCCCGCCTCCACGTATTGCTCGGGATAGTAGATGCCTCAATCAAATGGGAGAAATCGGCAAAAAATGCAGTATGTGCACTCCCTGTTTCGTGCTTTTTTCCTCATTTGTAATTTGTAACGTATGACCACTTTACTAGCGATAGAAAAATGAAAACTCGCTGGTTAATTTTTCACAGAATTGAAAAAAAGACTGAACTGCCTTTCCTGTTTAAATCATTAAATAATCTCATACATTCATCAATGTTTCCTTGCATTTATAATTGCACTTGTATTAAGAGAAAAATGAAGATGGCCTACTTCTTTGGGCCAAAAAAATCTTGTATATGAATGCATCTATGATTATATAGTGGAAGTCAATGGGACAACCTGATTCCCGTTGCAGAGTTTTGTGTTACGAACGTCATTTTTGCAAACGGTGTAGTAATGTATGGGGTTTTGAGAGCTATGTTTTACCTCATGTAATGGTATGTTTCATAACCTGACAGTGATGAACTTGGATATTTATGTCAGACTTGGCAGTACTAATGCGTGAATAAGTATTGGCCGAGGTGTGATGTTGCTAATAAAAAATTAGCATAATCTTCTCTCTGAGTCAGGGTTTTCTGTGGAAAATTAATAATGCATTTAGGAAAAATTAGCTTGTTTTGAAAGGCATTGTAGCTGATGAGTAAACCACTAACTGATGAACGTCAAACATGTTTTCAGAATTGCAAGATCTGCCGCAAGAAGACCGATGCAACTGAGATTCTACTTTGTGATGAATGTAACCATGGCTACCATATCTACTGCCTCCGGCCTGCCCTAAGCAAGATACCCAAGGGCGACTGGCTCTGCCCAGCTTGCGTGGTAATAACATCTCAGCTTTCTGTGTAACATTGCTTATTGGCCAAAGATTAGTTTTGTTCTCCTTTCATTTTCAAAATATAAAAAAATTGAATTCTTAATGTAAGTACATGCATACAGCATATAGTTCAGTATTCTGAGCTGAGCTTTAAAGGTTGTTCATTATTAAATGTGTGGCTAGAGTTTTAAGTTTGTTTAATGTTGCGGGGTGGCAGCTTCGGCAAATATTGCACGCGGTGGATGAATCAGCAAGGTGGCCTGCCTCGCTTATCATATACCAGTGGAAACACTATGCTACACGAACGTGCAATATCAAGTACATTACACCATGCAGTCGAGCAATTGTAATAGCTTTGTGAGTCTTGATGCACTATGGTCTTCTCCCATGTTAGCCGATCTCGCAACGTGCCTGCTCACGACGTGTCATCAACTACAACGAGTCCAGCGGTACGCTCGATAACGACTCCAGTGAAGACGACAACGACAGTGACTACCAGGTGAGTGAGTTCCCGGGTGCGTTAGCCTAGTAGTAGTTATGCTGGTAGTTTCTCATTTGCAGGGTTCGACACTAACCCACGTCCGATCGACCTAGTCGGGTAAATGCTTGGTCCGGTCGAATACAACCAGAGTGCTAGTAGCCCGACTGGTCGTACTAGGGTGGTCGTGTTAGAATTGGTCATATATATTGCACTGAAAGGTCACCTCTGGCTAGACTGGTTCGTGGCCGCACTGTTTGTCGCAGAGCGTGTACATTGTCTAGCAGAGCGTGAGGCCGAATACCAGTCTACCCTTCGGCAAAAACAATAACGTGGCTTGCTGCCAGCCGCAGTAGAGGATCGATAAACCGTGCGCTCGTCTATGCCCGTAGTAGAATACGAATGCTGCACGTGAACTCGGCCCACGCGCGATTTAAAGCACGGGAAACAGCATCTATGAATTCATACGATGACACACTCTTATCTAAATAAAGTTTTTCATAACAATGGTATGGGTCTGGGCTAGTGAAAGTTAGGTCAGGGCTAGTGGTTTTCCTCAGTTACTAGCCCGATGGTCTAGTGAAAGTTAGGTCAGGGCTAGTGGTTTTCCTCAGTTACTAGCCCGATGGTCTAGTGAAATAAAAAGTTAATGTTGAACCCTGATTTGTGGAGCTTTTAAGTGACCAACGTGGTGTACCCTTATATAATTTCTTGTTGGACATAACCCCGCTGAACAAGCATGGTCAGGCAAACGTTTATGAACAGGGTTATCACAAAGTAATCACGTCACCTTCAACTCTACACGTGATGAGATAGTAGAAGATTTTAAAAACGATGCGACACGTATTTTAGTTATATTTGGATTTTTACTATGTTCCTCCACACTGATTCGAACGCTGGTGATTCCACTGACTGTGACTGTTTCAATAACTGTGTTTTGCCACCGTGGCATTTACTCTTGGGGTTTTGATGATTTATTGTGTTGTTCTGTATAGGATCACGATGACCATTGCCAGGAATGTGGTGAAGATGAGGGAGAGTTGGTGCCCTGCGCCACCTGTTCATCGGCTTATCACAAGGAGTGTCACGACCCCCCACTACGCAACACACCTAGGTACAGGTGGAGGTGTTCAGCCTGTGTCTCAGGCCAATCCAAGAGAAAATCTAAAGGTTTGTGTGGTTGCATTCGTATATGTGGGTGTTGGTGCAATTTAAGGTCTTAGTGATTCGATTTGCTGCTCAGACGAAGAAATTGTGCAAGTCTTTAACCATGCAACTATGATTTTCTTTACATTAAATCGTGATTGTATACCTAGTAGTGTGCTTACATGTGTATTAAGTTACGTGTAGTTGTATATAGGTATATGAATATAAATACTGTAACTATGAACACTACTGTAATTCCTTTTTTTGTGGACCATTTTGTGGATGTTGCTTGATACTGTCATTCATAGTTTGGTGTCCTATTTTTAAGCAGCCGCAAAGAGAAAAATGGCAGCGCAGAGGCGGACCGAAAAGGAAGATCAAACAAAAAAGAGTTCACGCACTTCCTCAGATTCAGTACCACTTAAGACTTCGATAGCCAAACTAGGTAAATTATGGTTACTGGAGTCAACACATCAGTAAGCATGCAGTCACTAATGAACCCAGTCAGTGTCAGCAAAACTATTTCCTAACAGTTAACTGTCCACTCAATGTAGTGCCTGTATCATGCTTCTGATCAGTAACTTCTTTCATGATACGAAAACAAATGGGTGTACAGTCTGTATTTGAATGATTAATTTTTTTCACAGAAACTTCCAGAAGAACAAAAGGACAAGGGAAAAGCATCGAGAAATCAGAAGAAGTGATTCCTGAATCTAGGGCATCTAGGTTAGAAAGAAGACGAAAGCTGTCTCTAGAAGATAAAGATGAGCTTCCTCAAACTAGGCAATCCCGGGCATTAAGAAGAAAGCAGTCGTCAGAAGATGAGGAGGAGGTTGAGCTTCCTCTATCAAGGCGATCTAGGTCATCTAGAGGACAAAAGCAATCACCAGCAGAAAATCTAGAGGAGGAGATAGCTATATCAAGAACCTCTAGAACGACAAGAGGAAGTAAGCTGTCTTTTGAGGATGGAAAAATTGATACTCCAAGCTCCAGCATCACAAAAGTAGCGTCAGACAAAGAAGATATGACGCCTAGAAAGATTTTGAGACCGAGAAAGGAGCAGGTGACAGAAGAGACGGGCCCCCATTCACCGAGGGGTAGGAGCAGTAGGTCTCTTAAAAAGAATGAAGTCGAAACAGAGGAGTCGGAGGATACTGCATCTACACCAGTGAGAAGTTCTACCGGCCAATCGACAGAGGTGAGTGCTAGTGGGTACATCCACAAAGTGACAATCCTTGCGCATGTGTGTGGTTGAGGAAATGTGGCGTGATTAAACCTAATATCGATTCATTGAGTAGTCCAAATCATTGTGAGAGCAGTCTATTCTTCGCAATGACATTAAAACAAATGCTGCTTCTGTTTACAGGGTACCACGTCGCGTAGTAGGAAGCGGCAGCGGTCTGATGCAGTGTGTAATGGCAATGCCAACAGTGAAGACCATGCACCTGCGGCAAAGCAGCTTAGGTCACGGGAATCCATGGATGCCAATCGGCAACAGGTGTGGAGATTGTAGAATTTAGATGCAGCTATCGCTGCAGTTTGAGGCAATCATTCAAGCTGTTTAAAGATACCTTTCAAAAGCAAAAATCGTTGCAAGTGTTTTTCCTATCGCCATACAGTACAATAGTAATAAATCGGTCTGTCAAATGCAAACGACTTGAGCAGGCATACGTTGGCATTGAAAATTGCTTGGCTCTATTTTGGCTCGAGTTTTAATAATTCTCATGCTGTTGTCTTCAAATATTGTCTAGGTGTGTGCAGACTTGCTCGCAAGCGTATTCAGCAAGAGGTACTCGTGGCCGTTCACGAAGCCTGCTGATCTGCCTTCCCGTTCGAAGAGCAACAGCCTTGTGAGAAAGCTCATGACACTACAGGAGGTCAAGCAACAGCTCAACGATGGCACTTACAGCAAGCCAGAGGAATTCTTTAAAGACGTCACGCTCGTCTGTGATAACTTGGCTCGATATTTTGAGGCATGTATTACATCTTCACTTGAGTATCATTTAGTATGTAGTAAGTGTCTGATGTGAAAACTGCTATACTGCTTGCTATTATGAAATGTGTTGGTAGTTTGTTTTGATATTGATTATTGTGTTGTTTGTGTCCTAGGGAGAAGATGGAGAACAATTGATCTGTATAACAAAGACAAGAAAATTCTTCATGGACCAGGTGCGACAATGTTTTCCAACAAGCACATTCCTAAAAAGTTGTATGTAGTGATGTTCATATGTATATTCCTGTATAATCCTAACTCCTATGATGTTTTTTGGCATTTAGTAACTTGTTGTACATAGAATCAGTGTCCAGTCTGTGTCTGTGGGCATTTGTCTTTTGCCTAAGACTCGTTTTTGGAACCATGTTATAAATAACCTTTGAGTCCAGTCAGTCTATATTAATTAGGAGACTACCAGCTCTTTTACACTTTTTACACAGAAAAGTAATAATAGTAAATACATTATTGGGTGTGCGATGCCAACTACTACATCTACTAACACTTTGAATGGGTCTAAAACTAAAGGAGATTTGGTAGATTTAGATAGCTCACTAGCTGGCATGCACGGATGAAGAATATTTTATATAACCAGTACTAGCAATCAGAAGGTTCAAAGACAGCCAGTGAAGTCTAGAATGACAAACCTGCTGTATGTTAACAGTAAATCTTTGGATACATTCTGAAAAAAGCTTGCAAAATTAATGGGATATTTTCAGTTCAGAATGGATGACGCTGTGCTATCTTTGATAACGTGGAAGTGAGTTTCTGATATTAGTAACCTAGTACTGACGAAAATGCTAGAAGTTGTCAATTCAACGTTATTCCGGGCCATCGCTATGGTCATTTCGTACCTGCCACCACTGTAAACTATTTAGAATATTTCCACATGCATGATATTATAACTTTGTTGTATAGTAGTAAGCTAATGTGTTATTATATATATTAAATCACGGGACTATTAAACTTTAAAATTTAGTTTTTGTGTTGACTCCAAATATTTTATCAAACAGATGTAATACACGAGTGGAAAATGTGAAGTTTTTTCCAGATTTCTATTGGTACATTACACACGAATATAGAGATGAGGTCTCAAAGCTGCATATCGCATGCATATTTTCTCCGTGCCCTGTCCGAGCAAATGTTGCCCTTTCATAGACAGATAGTAGGCCTACACAGTGATAGTTGACTTGCTAATATGTCATTTCGTATATTTAATTGTTTCGTGAGATCGTGTGTATTTTAATGACATGTTCGAGTACAGGCACATAATAAAGGGTTTATGTACATTTAAAATTGATGTCAATTTTTTCAGAATTTTTATTTTCACACCAATTTCTTTGAGTATATCCCTTAGTGATGGTGGTACATATATAGCTTGTAGGTTATTGCCGGATCTCCTCCTAAGCTACCAAGCCGATTGCAGCCATAGGGAATTGTGCTTTGGAACGCCAGGCCAGTAATAACTGGTAGGGGTCTTTGTGGCCCTTCTCATCGTAAGGATCGTGGTATTAGCATATAGGGCTTGTTCGTTTCATCTGGTGTAGGGTTGGTACTTGTACAGTAGTATGTGTGGTACACGTTAGTGATGACTGAAGACAACCAACATAGATAGTGTAGGGAAGGTTTTAATGTCTCTCGTCGCTCGTTACACGTTGATAGTCAATGATCGTAGACAGTGATGGTCGAAGGCGTCGTGTATAATATAGACGGCTGTATTCTAATATATATGTTACGGCATACATAAGCACAACAGTACGTAAGTGCCACCTAATACCTCTTCGCCTTCATCTCTCCTTGTGTCCTACATCTCTCCTGACCTCTACCGACCTTCCCCTTTTATATGCGGCCGTGCCCTTTCCGGTGGACACGTGTTCTATCTCATTGATCGCTGACACAGCACTGGACATCGTCCACTCACCAACCGGCGTGTTCCACTTATGTATGACTCGTGCCTATGTCGCAACAACATCTACTATGCCTTCACATTATTTTGCATCGCTACATTTCACTCCCGCACTTCATTTTAGTCGATTAAACTGGTAATTTAATCGGCGTCTTCAGTCTTCTGGCTGAGTAAAAACATACATCAATACACAAGATACTATGGAGACGTAACGATTAGTATAGCGTAACGGAATAGTATGGTGGTTACATGGTTTCGGTCAAGGTATGGGAACGGGGGCTGACGTGGGGTAAACAGTTGCATAAATATAAGACGTAAAACAAACACGAACTAGTGACGTAAGGTACCACAGACAGTTGTATTGTTTGCCATAACGAAACGACAAGGTACAATGAATAGCGTAGGACAAGCGATTTGAACAACAGCGTAGGCAAGGGTCGAACAAGGGAGAGGAGTTCACCGCTCCCGGGCTCGGCCCGCCTTGTATATACGCGGTCTTTGTGACTGACCTCCGGCCGCGCGTCGTCACCGCTCCGGCCCGCGCTTGGCCGGGGCTCGCGCTCTCCGCGGGGGCTTGTGCTCCGCAGGACGCGTCGTACGTCGACTGCGGGTTATGATATGGCAGCACCATGTATCCCGCACTCAGCGCTCTGGCTTGCAGTGGCATTAGTTTTCTCACTGCTTCATTATTACCCCCATACGGTGCGTCCCCAAACGCCGAGTTTAGCCGCTAGCTGTCCTCTCGTGCGACGCTCGCTGGCTCATCGCCCGCGCCGCTCGCACGGCGTAACGCCTGATTACTATGGGAGGGGATATGTGTCAAAATTCAAACGTTCAATTGATCGATTGATTGTTTAATTGAACAGTCAATTTAATCATTCAAACGTTCAATTGATCGATTGATTGTTTAATTGAACAG